AGGTAGTGTCTGGAATTTAAGCAAAAAATAAAAGAGTGAGTAGCGTTTGGAAGGTTTCATCATCATTGTCATGGAATAAAAAAATAGATAGAGATGGTTGAAAATGCTTCTAGCATTATTTGGAAGAATTTTGAAAAATAAAATGGCTTACAATAACTTCTCAAGCCATCTTTATGCTTCCTAAAATAACTTTTTCCTAAATTAAGGGTTAAAAATTAAATGACCTAAAACAAATAGTATTATTACAAAACTACCACCTATCATTCTCACTCTCTTTTTTTTCTTCCTCATCATTCCTCGCTATAATTGGAAAAGTATCATTATAATCAATTTCATTATATTAATTTTATGATAAGTCTCAAACGGTGATCAAATACGATAGTTATTTACCTTTAAAATCCCCAAACAATTAAACGTTCTATTCATCTCCCTCCATTTCATTTTATTAATAGTCTGTATGTCTATTCCATTATGAACTTCAAGACATACCCTAAGTACCTAGATGCCTAGGGCTTGTTTGGTTTCTATTTTTAAAAATAGTTTTTAAATTTTATAAACAAAAAAAAATTAAAACCGTGTTTAGATAAGCGTTTTGAATTTAATTGTTTTCAAAGTTATTTTCATTTTTTATTTTGAAAACATAAAAATAGAAACACCTTAAAAATATTTTAATTTTATTTTTCTTATTTTTAAAATTTATTGCATTATAATTGTTGAAAACTACAATTTCCTTGATCAATTACTCTAATAAGCTTTATTTGTTATTTAAAAGTTTAGTTTAGGTGAGTTAGGTGCCGAGAACCTACTAGCGCCAAGACATGTGTAAAGCCCCTTAATTCATCCAAACTTTACCATCCTAAATACACAATCATCAAACAAAAATAACATAATATTAGAGTAATAGCCCTCAAATTATTTTCAAAATGCGAGATTCTGACTTCTTTGAAAATATGTTCAAATAAGAAGGCTTACAGAAGTGTAAATATAAATTCATGACCTAAGCAAAACACAATTATTTTTCTGAGAAAAGGGCCATGTGTCGTGGCATGTGGTACAGAGCTAAGGGCTCTCCTCTCTGTGTCATGTGCTGTGGTCTGACACACAATGCACCTCAACACATTTGTTATCATATGATAATTCACCTTAGTTAACTTCCATCGCATGCCAAGTCTACATCTAATGTCCAATTAGAGTGAATCAAGTGCCCACACAAAATTCTCAACACATTCTATCTAATGAGATAAGTTTGGATACAATCCAATAGTCTGATTTAAAATTGGACATCTGGGTGCAAAAGTTACTTTTTCTTTCAAAACTTGTACTCTAAGTGTTCAATTCTCATTTCTTATCCCATTAGACTACTTTGAGCTTTAAACCAAGTCCAAAAGGACCACATACACTTGACTAAAACATCACGACACATATATCCCAACAAATAATCATTTTGACCTCTCAATATCATGTTACACAATTGTAAACTTATACGAGGCACAAACATATAAACACATACACACATATACTTGTTCCACTTTCAACCATCTGACTCTCACATATAGGGCTAAGCCCTACCATATAGTCAGGAATCACAATTCATTTAACTCATACAAATAGAGCTAAGCCACACCATTTGGTTAAGTTTCCCACAAATACACAATTCATCACATCAATTTCACATATAAACTAATGGAACACGTTATACAATATAAAATAAACTTGCTTGTATAGCATCTAGGCCTACCTACTGTACATCACTATGATACACTTGGTGAGATTCAATACTACATACACAAGCAAGTTTCCAATACAAAATCATATATTTACACACATTTCTGCATCCTAGTTGTTAACTAAAATTCTTAACAACATAGTTATATATTCATTACACAAAAGTAGTCATACCATTATCAATCGAGGCTACTCTTTCCTCGTATCCTTTCCTAGCCTTCTCATGCTCTCTTCACCTATATGCATAAGTAATAGAATGAGACATACACCCCAATAACTTGAATATAACCCAACAACTAGTTAGTGAGAAAAATCATAAACAAGAGATAAGGTTGTATCATTTTATAAAACAATAAAGCATGCATTCACAGGATATCTTTCACTATGATAATATGCTCACACACTACCAGTTCTCCTTAGTGGAGCAAGCTCTACTCTTAAACTAGGGCTTCAAGCCCTACACAAAATAGGACTAACCAAACCACTATCTCAGTTTGGGAATCATTAGTATGGGTGGTCTCTTGAGTCTCAACTAGCAAAGCATTCAAAATGCTTAAACTTTCAAGACTTTCTGGCCTTACACAGAGTAAGACTGTGACTCCCTACCCTAGTTTAAGGTACACTTGTGGATCATTCTCCTAGGTCCTTCTTAGTGGAGCAAACTCTACACTTAAGACCTTTAAGACTTCCTAACCTTGCATAGAGTACGGCCACAACCCCTTACCCTAGTCTATGGTATACTCATGGACACAATGCACATGTCTATTCATATATCCTGTCTCATACATTTCAAGCATCACTTACACACCCGCATGCATATTCTTTTCACAATATTGCTACTCTATCAGTTCATAAATCACAATGCATATAGTTATATAAATTATTTGTAATTTCACAAAGTAACAAGTACAAGGGTTACTCCAATTACCTTTTATCCTTATTATCAAGGGTTACCGTTTGCACAATTAATTTCTAAGGGTATAGATTCCCTTGAGCAACTTCTCAATGCTCAATCTACATAAGAAAACATTCCTTAATCAATTTTTCACATTTAGCATAAGCACTAATTTGGCAGAATCAAATTCCATAATGCACAAAACAACTCTATTAACCCCTTTTTGAATTCACATAATCCATTTCCTATAATCATTGACCCTATAGGTTATTCAAATGACCTAAACATCCTACTAAACTCACTTTACCAAGCAATATACCCTTTTTAACCTAATCTTTTAGGCTAATTTGAGCCTATATCCTTAAGGTTCTACCATTAAATTTCAAACCAGTCGCAAAACCTTAGTTTCACACTCAAAAGCCCTTTTTAAACCTTTTTCCTTAGATTTCAACTTCTTAAAACTTCTTGATTCAATTTCTCTACAACCAAACTTTAAGTAGAAATGTAGTGTAGGGCTGTACCATACTTACCCGACAAGTCACTGGCTAGAACAAACTCCTGATCACCAGATAATCCAAGACTTAGCAAAGCTAAACTCTCCTCACCCTTCAACTGGGTTTTCTCTCACTTCCCCTTCTAATTTCACGAGCTGAAACTTAGCTACTAATTAAAAATCTATATCATGCGCTGCGGTGCATAGCACAATGAGACAATTCTCACTGCTGCTCGCACATTATGTCCCGAATTGCCATTTTACCATCAGATCCTATAACCACACCAAGCAACCAACAACATACATTAATCCAACACCTAAGACCATAATCAATCTACTAATTACTAATTTGCCCCTAATTAGCAACTAGTTCCTTGGATTGAAATTCAGGGTGTTATAACATGCCTCCAAGTTTAAAAGGCACATATAGATATACTTACAGATCGCTCACCAACAAGGTCCTCATATCAACAATGGGATTTAAACATATGATCTTGTGAGTTATAGTCCAAATTCTTACCAACTAGACCAACCATTGTTGTTATCAATCAATTTTTTAACTTTAAAATAGTTTTTAAATTAACACGATCAAGCATATTTTCCTTTTGTTTTGTTTAGAAAATAATTTTGAAAACTATACTATAAAAAAGTTTCTGAAAATAAAAAATAAAAACCCAACTAAATAGCTTCCTATATTCTTATCCCTAAGGTCACCTAGTTTCAATTTAAAGGCATCCAAAAGAACTACTGGCCCTATGAAAGGTTGCCCTCCAACCAACTTACATCCAAGATTAAAGGGAACCTTTTTTTTATTTTATTGGCCAAAAAATACAAAAAAAAAAAAAAGAGTTTCGTGTTGGCAATTTGTCATGACCACCTATCTACCCACACAAAGTGTAACAGAGGATCAAAGCTTTATAGGATAAAGGATTTCAAATGGATCGAACGGTTGTTTTTGCATAAATTGGGCTATTTGCTCGGAATTTGGGTTAAATGCTTTGATAAGGTTAAAAAAGAGTTTCGTGTTGGCGATTTGTCAGGACCACCGATCTACCCACACAAAGCGTAACAGAGGATCAAAGCTTTACAGGATAAAGGATTTCAAATGGATCGAACAGGTTTTTTTGCATAAATTGGGCTATTTGCTCTGAATTTGGGTTAAATACTTTGATAGGGCTTTTAAACCATTAGACCATGAATGGGCCCAAAATGAGTGGCCCAAAGCCTATCACTCCTTGAAAGAGAGAAGGGCATAAGGCATTAAAAAACTGTAACAATCATCACAGGCCACGTCTATCTGTAGCCTTACAACTAGGCTAAAACCACACCCTGTACAATTATTTTATTCTTTCTATAAAAAAATATAAAATATTTTTAACTATATTTAATCTCTCAATAAAATAATTAATTATTTTTAAATTAACATCATATTTTTATATTTATTTTTAATTAATAAAGTGTTACACTTTAAAATAAATATAAAGTGATTTATTTATTTTAAATATTTTTAAAAAAAGCATATTAATTACAGCTTGAAATACTAAAAATATTTTACATTTTTTAACATCTAAATTTTTAAAAAATAGTTTATACTTTTTAATAAAAAAGAATATTTAATTTCTTTTGGTTATTGCATGTAACTTAGAACACAAATTGTACTATTTTTTAACTTATCTAAAGCAAGACTTGCTTTATATGCATACCAACAATCATCTAGCATTTTTCTGCTGATTTTAATTGACTTTTAACATATTATAGTTATTGGGTTCAATGAGATTTTTTTTTTTTTACATTTTTTGGTCAAAAAATAATCTTATTACATTAAAAAAATTATATTATCATTTTATTCTTTTGCCATAATCAAGCAAGGAGAAAAAGGAATTTAAGAGAATCGAATTTCATTTCATTTTTCTAATCAGTTAGAAAATTATCATACAAAAATCAAAACCTAACACTTTCTATATCTGATTTTACTTATACAAACAATGCCTATTGAGTGAGATGAGAGACTCGTATGTGCAGTCCATTTGGAGCTTCAACTCTAGGAAACTTCATTAGTTTATCTCCTCCAACTTCTTCCCATCTGCAATCCAACATTTTTCAGATATATCATCAGAAACAGATGGATTACTGGTGTTGATTTCTGGCTCTTTCAGGCTAACCAAACAGTTCAATCTTTCAACATTGAGAACAAGTTTGATACAGGTAAACTAAATTACTCACCTGTATCTAGTTACAAAGTAGTGTAAGAAAGTGCAAATTTCTGCTATCCCCAATTCTTTCCCTGGACACTGCCTTGTACCTCCTCCAAATATCATAAAGTAGCTTTGTGATTCTTGACTCTTATCCTGCATTTTGCAGTTTTAATTTTTAATTATTATGCTGACATGAAGCTTTGCTGTGAACAAACATGAATGAACAGAGGAACAAGTTGGATAGGTGGGACCAACCAGCCATCTCCATGGGTTTAATGTTAGTGGATCAGGATAGAGAAATGGATCATAATTGATCTCCCTCGTATATACGTATATTCTCCACCCTTTGGGAATCAAGTAGCCTGGAAATATATCATCATATGTATGATTCAGTAACAAGGTTATTTTCTGAGTATTAGATGAATGCAGTATGAAATTTCTAGCAGTATGGTAAATAGTGAATACCATGTGTTTGTGAAAAAGCTCAAACCAAGGGAATCCCTTTTCAGAAAAAGCAATTATGGTGGAATTGTCTATTTGGGGATGCAGGACTTGTGGGGAATCCTATGTGTATTATTGCTCTCATAAAGATGTGTTTTCTCTCATGTTACAGTTTTATTAAAAATTTCTATGGTACTCATAATGTATTATTCATATCTCGCCTAGTTAATTGTGATACAGACAATTAGATAAGTCCATTCAGATTCATCTCACAATGCTTAACAGTTTCAACTGAAGAAGATGCTGATATGAGACTCTGATTTATAAAATATGTTGGAAGTGGGTCAAGTTGAAAATGAGAAGTGCATCTGATAAATTTATGAATCTTGAAAATTGGCTTGGTTCAGTCAATTTATCTTTTATTGACCAGGTACATTTAACAACGTTTATGCTGCACAGACCCCGGTTCCGCATATTTAATTTGTTATTTATAAGAAAAGTTCATGAAAGAAGTCATAGAAGTCAAAAAAAAATAGATTCTTGAGCCCATAAAACAAGGAAAGATAGATTCATGGTAGGCCTCATGAAACGCACCATTCAGTTCCATGTCTTGAGTAGTTTTTCTGAGAACCCCATTAACTATTGCAGCCAATCTCGAGGTCTCGAAAATCACCTGCAAAATGAACAGAAAGTGGACAACACAAAGGTTTTGATCAAACTTTCTTGCAGAATCGCAAGACAAAAAAAAAAAATATATTGCACAATCAGCGTAAAAAACTGACAAGTGATGCTCAAACAAGCACATAGTTCTTACCGCACGAGTAAACCTCATTGACTTGAGATCGTTACAGTTAATTGGATCATCTAACTTTTTCCTCTCTCTTATGGCCAAATGCTCCTTCTGTAAAAGACATTAACTGCACACAGTCAGAACAACAAACATAAGAAAACAAACATAGTATGCCTCTGCAAACATGTCGGGTCTTTTCATTTTTCACTCACTCTCAGCTCTTTAAGAACATTAGGATGGTCATGGAGGTATTTGACTGCCATCATTGATGTAGTTGAAACAGTTTCATAACCAGAATACATTATTGTAATTATGAGATCAATGATCTCTTCATCGCTTAGCACATAGCGATTATCTTCCTCTTTCATCAAGCATCCAAGCATGTCTAGGTAGGTTTCCTGGGAAGATCTTCTTTCCTCAAGCAGCTTACTCAGAATGCTGATAATGTTCTTCCTTGCCTGCCAGACATGGTGAAAACTGTTCTAAATTAAAAAAAAAAAAAATCAAAACTTTGGAAACTGGGAACTGAAAACATTCATTGATTTCCTTTCCATCTTCATCGCTAATCTTCTGTCATAGTTTAAGATTTCATAAACAAACCACTAAATGAAAGAGGATCAATAGGCATAGACTGAATTCTATGGCTCACTTATAATTTAGCAGGTGTATCATGTAAAAGTTGGAATTTTCATTTGAGCATAGTTAAGACAAGTATCAAAGCATCATACCTGAACACCGTGGCGATAGTTTGTGCCGGGAAGGTCAATAGGAAGGGAGAGGGTTCCTAAAACTAGCCTGAAGAACTCTTCCATGAATGGTTGAGATATGGAGCCAGATTCAATACCAGCAATTTGCTTCAGAGATGAAAGAAAGGCCATCTGCAAAAATGTTGCAGAATATACAGGTCAAAACAAAGGCTTCTCTGAAAACTTTCTGGTAATGCTAAATTTTAAGGGAAATCAACAAAACAAACCTCCTTAGTTTTGGCTTGAATGTTGATGACATTGTTATTCCAGTTGCTGAGGTGAGCTCTCATGAACTCATCAATTTTTGGTAAAAGCTGTTCTCTGATCATTGTGGGGTTTATCAGGGAAAGCAGTGCTCCTCTCATGTACTTGTGAGTGGAGCCATGAACTGCTGCAATATTGCATTTGCCTAAGATATCTAACATAGATTGAGGATATCCAGGAACAAGCCCTTTTGCTTCATTCACTAGGATATATCTGTTAAGCTCTGCATCCATGGACACAATAGTAGGACACCCCAATATGTGGGATTTGAAAAAACTGCCATACCTGCCATTGTCAAAAGGGTAAAAAGGTACAATCATTACTTTTGGGGTAAAAGCACAGGAAATGAATAGTTCTATCCTCACACAACCAGTTAAACTGATTTGAAGAAAAATAATAATTTGGTAATAAATTGATTACTGTTAAACCAAACTCTGTTACCATCTTTTTCCTCGGTCTTCAATTTTCAAACTTCATTGACCAACTTTCATATCTCCCAGAAAGGGAGGCTATTACAAAACCATTTTATAATCAAATTCCCAAAATATGTTCCCTTTTGAAAATGTGAAAAGTTAGGCCTATCACATAATGCAAAATGACCCAACAGCTTAATTACAGAAGCCAGAGACCAGAATGTTGATAATAGAAGACGACCTCGTTCAACACATAAGACCTAGAAAGTGAGCGAAGCCTTATGTATGACGCAGTTACCTTGCTCTCTGATTTTTCATGAAGTTTGGACCATGCTTAAGAAACTCAGTGGTTTCACCAAATACTGGCCAACCCATTGTTCCTGGAGGCAAACCTTTCTTCCTGTGCTTCAGTTCATTCCATTTCAGCAAAACAGAGCAAAAACAGAGCACTAACATCACACCGACAATGATTGCCATGACCATATCCATGGAGCTTCCACTTCAGAAACAAACCCAATTTGTAGACAGAGTAGAGTTTGCTGCAAATCAAGACTTGAGACACAAACATATATAGGCCCTTGAGTTCCCATTTGCAGAGAAGGACAAAAGCCACAGAGAAAAAGAAAACGAATATATAAATAAATTTAAATGAAGAAGAACCCACTACCTCTGCAAATGAATAATGGAAGATTTAAAAAGACTTGAAAAAGAGAGTTGGCTTTTATGAAAAATTTCAGTGAGGAGAGCCAACCAACGCTTAGTTCCGCAGACATTTGGAGTCTGCAAACGAGTGTGAAGTATATATAAAGAAAAGGAAAAAAGAAAAAGTAAAATTTGAAACCCCTTTGGAGATTTCAAGCAGCAAATAATTGTTGCTTTCATAGAGGGAACTGGGAAGAGAGCAAAAGGTTGGGGGGTTAGGGGGCCGGTTAGAATGATGTGATTGATGATCGTTAAAACTAGTGCACACTGTAAACTATTTACTTTCTGTTCCTATGCATCCAAAAAAGCATTGGGTTTTGTTAGGGGATTGGGATCCTTTAATGTTGAATTTTCAAAAAAAAAAAAAGTAAAGTAAAGTAATATTTATTTCTCAAAATTTAATTCTTTAGCAAGAAAATAAATTTAAATTTAAATTCTATTATTGAAATTTTTTTGTTTAATATTGACATTTTATATTTAAAATAAATAAAATATTTAAAATTTTATTTTTAAAAAAATAATTATCAAAATAAAGATAAAATTTAGATTATTTAAGTTAACTTTAGACAGTTTAAATTTTTTGTTTTAAAAAAATGACAATGTGTGCTTCTTATATTTTAGAGTTAAAATCAATTTCATATCTAAATTAGAGGTTGATGCTTAATTTTAAATTCCTTTTTATTACAATGATCCCAATCATTGTTTAAAAATGGTGCAATATCAACCCTACTATTAACAAAAGTTAATTTTAAATGTTAGTTAACCAAAAATTTATAGAAAAATACCTAAAAATTGCATAAAAATGACCCAAAAATTACCAAAAAAAGTACCTGAAATTAAAAACAAAGATAAAAAATTAAAGAAAATGATAAAAAAAATTATTGGCCTTTTTATGTAATTTTCTATAATTTTTTATATACTTTTATATAATTTATGATTAATTTGTCAAAGTTAACACTTATTAATGGTGCGGCAATAACATATCATTTTCAAAAATTAAGGAATAACATTATACCAGAAATAAGTTTAAAGTCTCAAATGCTCATAGAGCAATAATTTTGGAGTAAATTTGTTATTTAACTCTATACTTTATAAGAAAAGCTCACCTTATGCCTTTACACAGAGTACGAGGTAAGCCATAATGTTTTTGAAGAATGATAGTTAGGTTCCAAAATAATGAATTAATAATAGTTAGGTCCCCAATAAATTTTATTTAAAAAAGTAGTTGAAAATATCAATTCAAATAATTATAAATTTAAGAGTTTTAATTATAAATAAGTATTTAAATATCAAATATAACTCTTAGATTGTAACAAAAATTTCTGCTCATAACTGTTTGAATTGATATTTATAATTCATTTTATAAAAAATTTTATCGAATACCTAACTATCATTAATTCAACATTTTAGAACTTAACTGTCATTCTCCCTAATGTTTTTTATTTTTCTGTATTATTTTGATATCAATGTTTACAAGTGAATTGGTATAAGAAATTCAGTAATATTTTGGTGTGGATTAATAAGAGAAATTTGTGCAATATATAAATAAATAAATAAATAAAAATAAAAAAATGACAATAAAATTTTTTCAAATTATATAAATGATAATTTAATTTTTTTTTTAAATTTTATTATTTTAATGACGTCTCTAGGGACTTTTATGTTAATAAATTTTAAAATAAAAAAATTATTTAACCCTTACTGAAAATAATAAGCCTCGATGACAAATTTTATTTAAAAAATTATAACTTTTATTCTGTAAATCACAAGAGTTAAACAAAAAATTATAATTTATTAAGTGTAATTTATGTTATTGAAAAATATGCCCAATCATAACTTTTGCTAAGAAATAACAACTTTTGTTCTGTAAATAATAAAAGTTGAATAAGAAATTATAATTTTTCACGTGTAATTTTTATTATTAAAAAATAATTTTTCAAAATAACAAATCTCATTCATAATTTTTATTTGAAGAATCACAACTTTTATTTAAAGAATTAAAAAAATTGAACACAATTTGTCAATAAAAGTAAAATGTTCTTTTTAATTTAAAATTGATTGACAAAAAAATCTCTTGAAAATTTATCAAAATTATGACACTTCAAGAAATTAGATTTTTATTTATACAACTCAAATAGATTTTATTGTCCTTTTTCCAAACAAAATCATGGTAATATCTTAGTTAAAAAGGCATTAAAAAAACGATAGCAACCAAATTTAATATTGAAAGATAATTGTTTGACAAATATTTTTCCCTTCTTTTTTATTAAATAATATTTTTTTTCATTCTAAAAAGAGAATATTTATAATTATAAATAATTGTAAAATAAAAATTTTTTGAAATTTTTTTATCATTTACATGAATATTTTTTGAATATGAGATAAATAACAGGGAGAATTTGATCTAGAGGCCTAAAGGGAGGAAAAATTATAATTAGGGCCCAATGTATTCTAAAATTTTCTACGGCCCAAGGGTCCTTTTTGCAAATATATTTTAGGGTGGAAAGACACAGTTACTCTTAGTAAGAAAAAAAAAACTTTAGGATTACTATTAATGGATAACTTTTTGTTAACATGTGAATTTAAAGTTGTGAATTTGTGAATATTTAGTTGTAAAAATCTACACTTGCTATCATGATGAACTTTAGTTTTGAATATATGAAGTTATAAGTTATGTATTTTGACTTATGAGTAGATGAACCTATACTTGTGAATATTAAAATCCTAAGTTGTAAATTTATTAAGTTGATCAAAATGAACTTGTCAACCCTAAACAAGAATTTCACTAATAATGGACGCGGAAGCAAAATCGTGCTAGTTTAGGGACAGAACCCTGACACAATAAAAACATAAGAATAAAAAGAAAGGGACAAAATTTATGACGAAAATAAAGAAAGAAAGGAAATAAACAACGAGATAATGATCAAGGATAAAATCCTCTAGAGCACCTGCCTCTAGAAACCTCAACCTTCGAAAACACCAAAAGAGTTGATCACACTCTTGATCACGTCTGTTTGTCACACGGGATGCTACCACAAAGCACTAAGGCTCACAAAAATTATAAACTCTAAAATGAATAATTTTATTCAACTTCTCTTCCTTGCATAGGGCTAAGGTTTGTATCTCTTGGGCTTGACTCTTCATAAATTTGGATCTTAGACACATTATACACGTATAGATGCCATCCTTTGGGCTTGAGAGGAGTGCCCCAATGCTCTCTAAGCTCTTGAACTTCTTGCACAAGACTGAACAAGGCTTGCTTTATGGCTTTAGTTCGGGCTCTTGTCATTGGACCTCCAATATGTTGTAATGGGTCTTTAGGTACGTTGGATTGAAAGTATTGGGCTCCTTCCATGTCACCATACTCATGATTACCAACCTCAAGCTTCGTTGCCATTAATGCCATGTCATTTGTGCCATAGGGTCCATCATTCCCTCCCAGTTAGAAAGGATTCATCCTCGAATCTACAAAATCATATAAAGATAAATCAGAAACATTAAATATGGCACTAACATTGCCATAAGAGCTAGGCAAATCAATCTTGTAAGTATTATCATTAATTCTTTTCAAAACTTGGAAAGGTCCATCTCCTCGAGCTTGAAGTTTGGACTTCCTTTGATTAGGAAATCTTTCTTTCCTTAAATGTAACCAAACCCAATCTCTAGGCTCAAAGATCACACGTCTCCTGCCTTTATTAGCTTGCTTGGCATATTTCTCATTCTTTTGCTCTATGTTTGCTTTAACCTTAGCATGTAAGTCCTACACAAACTCAGCTTTTTTCTTGCCATTAATGTTAGTATGCTCAAAAAAAGGCAGAGGTAAAATATCAATAGAAGATAATGGATTGAAACCATAAACAATTTCAAATGGAGAATAAGAAGTAGAAGAATAAATAGCCCTATTGTAAGCAAATTCAATATGAGGTAAATAATTCACCCAATTCTTCAAATTCTTTTGAATTATTGCTCTTAGCAGTGTAGTCATAGTTCTATTAACTACCTCAGTTTGACCATCAGTTTGTGGATGGGCAGTAGTGGAAAAAAGTAACTTAGTCCCTAATTTATGCCATAGGGTACGCCAGAAGTGACTAAGAAACTTCACATCCCTATCACTCACAATAGTCTTAGGTAAACCATGCAAACGAACAATCTCTTTAAAGAATAAGTCAGCAATGTTAATAGCATCATTAGTCTTAACACAAGCAATAAAGTGTGCCATCTTAGAAAATCTGTCAACAACAACAAATATGGAATCTTTGCCTGCAGAAGATTTAGGCAATCCAATTACAAAATCCATAGAGATGTGTTCCTAAGGGTGAGAGGGGACAGGTAAAGGAGAGTAAAGTCCATAAGGTTGGACCTTAGATTTTGCCTATCTACATTTAATGCATTTATCACAAACAGATATGACATCTTTTCGCATGTCAGGCCAAAAGAAATGATCAGAAAAAATAGCCAAAGTTTTCTCTACACCAAAGTATCCCATCAAACCACCACCATGCGCTTCCTTAGTAAACAACTCATGCATAAAACAAATAGGAATGCATAATTTATTTTTCTTAAAAAGAAATCCATCAAATCTAAAGAAATCACTAGATCCATGATTTTCACAAGATTTCTAAATATTTTTAAAATCAAAATCAGTTTTATAAGATCTTTTAAAATCTCAAAGCCAAGTAATTGAGCATGCAAATAGAAAAATAATATATACCTTTGAGATAAGGCATCAGTAATGATGTTTTCTTTACCTTGCTTATGCTTAATCACATAAGGAAAAGTCTCAATAAATTCCATCCAGCAAGCATGTCTCTTATTCAACTTACCTTGAGACTTGAGAAACTTTAAACTTTCATGATCAGAATGAATGATGAATTCCTTGGGCCACAAATAATGTTGCCACGTTTCTAAGGCCCTCTTTAGAGCATAGAGCTCTTTGTCATAGGTAGAATAATTCAAAGCTGCACCATGAAGCTTTTCACTGAAGTAAGCTATGAGCTTAGAATCCTGCATTAAAACAGCACCTATACCAATACTAGAAGCATCACATTGAATTTTAAATGCTTTAGAGAAATTAGGCAAAACAAGTAACGGGGCATTAGTCAATTTATCCTTT